AGTCCATTTGCGCGGAGCACTCGGCAAAATGGAAACGGATCCTTGAACGGGCGGCGAAACGTTGCGGTTAACAGAAAAATTGCCGGCGAAACGTTACAATCGAGACTCATGAGAATTTCAATATAAAAGGAACTTCGAAACAAACATATCGGGCAAACGCTGAACAAAAGTTGGCGGCCGCTCGATGAAATTCGCTCTCGAGTAATTCGCGCGAAAGGCGGGACGCAAATTTAATTGTTTCCTACGTTTTAATTTATGAATGGAAACGTGGTTAGCCAGTTGCGTTGCTCCGGTGTAAAACCACTGCGCGAAAACAACAGGAAACCGAGTGAAAGGCGAATGGGTTTCCGATTTTGCGCGTCATTAAAATTTCATCGGGACCGACTCAAAGGTATCGGTGCTCGCTGGTCGTCTCGTGCGGCTCTCACACATACCACGTACATACGCATGTACGTGGTATGTGTGTGTGTGTGTGTGTGTGTGTGTGTGTGTATACGGTGTACACGGTGAAGTGGAGAACCCGTAGTAATCGCATATTTATCCGGGGAGAAGAGAACGAGCAGGTGTATAACCCTGGACACCTTTTGATTGGCAAACATGCATATTTTATCTGGCCTGGCGATCGGATAACGTGTTGTTCGTATCAATTATTCTCCAAATTCAACGCTGCCGCCTAATGGGGAACAGAGTTTTAGTTGAAACGTAATCCCAATTAAAATGAGTTTGCGATACTCCGCGCATGAACACGCGTAATCGTGTTAACGAAATGAAATGTCCACTCCGCCGCAAGATATTGGACGCAGTGCGTGCTGTTTATGGGGAAAAGGTACGACGGGACTCGAGTTTTTAGTTGATAAGTTTCAACCTTGTACTACCTGCGATACATTCTATTTCCTTTCCCTTTCCTTATGCTCGTCTCTTTTATTTTTTTTTCTCCTTTCTCTCTCTCCTCCTTATCCCTGTTTTTTTTTATTTTCTTCTTTCTTCCTTTAATATTCCTTTGCGATCGAAGCGAAACGCTTCGACGTTAAAATAAGATATTGTTTCTTTTACTGATAGGGAAACGTTCTAGGAACGAAATGGTATTTTTATTAAAGGATATATCACGAATGTTATTCGATACCAGGCCGTAAAAATCAAACAAATTCGTCGAGGGACAAAATTCATTCCTAAATATATGTTTCATTCCGTTTATTCTTTTTTTTTCTTTTTTTTGTCTTTTCTTTTTATTCATAACGTCTTACATCTCTACGCTCTTCAAATTATACAGTCTTATATCTGGCATGACTCGCACCGACAGGTATTTACAACAACTCTCACAAAACATTCACGTAACAACTTCATACAAACCTTCCTTTTTTTTTATTTTGTAAATATAACATTTCTTTATAAATGATTTCTCTTCTAATAGGATTCGTGTGCCCTCTTCGTTAACAACAACGCTCTTCGCAACGATCGCCACACGAAGGCGACATCCGCTAGAAACACGCTTCTCCTTTCATTTCTTCCTTTCTTTTTTTTTTTTTTTTTTTTTCCGTTCCCTCGATACGTTTCTGCTTTCAACTGCCTACGTAGAAAAAACGATGATTATCGCGTGATTAACTCCGTGTACGTTAAAAAATGCTTCCGCCGTAGAATTAACCATAGAAAAACAAATCGAGAACGCGTGTCATATTGTCGGAACAACAATTACGTCCGGGAAGTTGTCACAAACGAAGTGAACTGAATTGTTATGAACCGAATGCGGGGAATCACGGCGATGTACTGTCCCTGGGAAAACTACCACCATTCGCGAGACACAACGAACAAACGATATCTTTGTCATTGATTCCTTACAGCTATCTACACCCTAGATAGTTCTTTATTACTCTGTTTCTCTCTTTTTCTCTTCTGCTTTCTATTTTTTCTTTTCTTCTAACGCACCAAAATGCCTCGTTAAAGCACCTTTTACAAATACTTTCTATTCCTCGCAGTTTTCCGAACCGACGGATTCGGTTTACTGGATTTGATCGCTCGTCGGTCGAAAATCGGCGGCGATTCCTTATCCTCGTCCTCGTTGGCCATGAAAAATATTACGCTGTAACACGTCGTAGACAACGCTAACTCGTACTTACGATTACGATTTCTTTACGCGGGGAGGGAGGATTCCTTATGCATCGTCCAATGCAGTGCAAAAATTGCGTTAAGCTTCGCGTTAAGATCCAATACGCGTTTCATGTGGATCAGTAGTAACAGTGAGTCGTCTCGAGATTCTCCCTTTTCGTAGCGAGTTGTATCTAGTAAGCTAATTTGTAGTATGCGTAGAATTTCGTCTAGAAGCGTGAGATTTTTTTTTTTTTTTTGTTTCTTTTTGGAGTAATCGACGTAGATAAGAAGGGCTATAACCGATATGATACGATTTCTACGACGTCGAAGAGAATTTCTGGCTTTCTTTCTCTTTGTTTCTGTTTTCTCCTCTTCGCTTCTCCAAACTCTCGACACGTTGTGTAAATTTAGCCGTAACTATGACGCAGGATGATCGTAGAGGCACATTGACGCAGCTACTTCGGAAAATTTCGTCGACGATCCTCGCTTCTGCTCCTATTTAATTAACCGTCGACGTCACCGCGACTATACTCGTCTCCTCGAGCTTAAACACGGCGCGTATAAAAATCCCTACGCGCCCGAACCACGAATTGACAAATCTACCTGCCATCGGTGATTAAATTGGACGTAATGATCGACAGATCGACATCTATATCGCTACGCAAGCCGATGAAAATAAATTGCAGGTTATCTCTGCTTATGTAAAACCCTTTCCGCGTAGTTACTTCGTTAACGCTTGTTCGAGAGATCCGAGATTAGATTTTTCTCTTCTTCCTTCCTTTTTCCTTTTTCTTGTTGTACTACCTTCCTGCGACAAATTTTGAAATTTCTAATTACAGACTTGAACGACACGCTCGAATTACAATAGAATGAAACTTGTGGTTTACAAAATATCGATTGAAGGTGCCATCGAGGTTCGCATTACGATCGAAGATACAATACCTATATATAAAAAGATACAGTAGTTTAAAAGATATATATATATATATATAAAAGTAACTGAATAATATTCAATTCAAAGTTTTCACTTTAAACTCGTAGACCATTTTAAATGTGAATTCATTCAAAACATAGGATTGCCTTCTCCTTCTCAGTCGTATGTATTTGGTAACAAAGAATACGCAAGAAAGAACGATCATTCTCGCGACAAGCGTAGCGACTCCTTGTCAGCTAAGCTCGTTCAATGACGGCGACGATACGAAGATTATCTCATATTAGAAACATCTAAAAATACTACACTTTTTTTTTCATTTTATATAAAAAGATCTCGATCTACTCTCAAGTTTCCCCTCCGCCACCCACACGGTTTGTTTCTTCTTTCTCTTCGTCGGCCCTTTCCCTTTAATAATATACAATTAACATCTATGTAGTTATGTACAATTTGTTTTTCCTGCCTCCCTGCCTCTTTCGTGTCTGTAGCCACGAATAATGGTACTTAGCCGATCTTTACTTAAACGATACGCCCACTGCACGACTAGGTTTTCTGCGGGAAACGTACGGACAAATTAAGCTCTATATCGCTGACTCCGGTCGTAACAACTTCTATAATTTTATACAATCTCTCCGCGGTTGTGTTATATATTGTATCTCTGTTCGAAGGAAATTTCACGTTACCACGGTCTCGCGATCAGTGTCGTGATTTACGATCGCATGCGAGATCACCGTAGCAAAGTGAATCGCGTTCGAAGGAATGGAAGGCATTTTGTAACGTTTTCCCTCTTCGTCTTTCTTTCTCCTGCTCATTTTCCCCTCTCGCTTCTCCTCCTCTGTTCTTCTTTCTTTCTCTCCTTTCCCGCTTCTTCACCTTCATTCTGCATTTCTTCTCGCTGGTAAGCTTCGTGCGCTTCCGCGGACTACTTATCGCAAATTTACTGAATAACCAAGACGTGATAACGAGAGTTTTTTTTCCGCGTAATTGGAGGGAGACTGAAGGCATCGCATTAGAAATCGCACGAGCAAGGATTTCTACGCTGTTCTCGCAAGCTTGTTTCCTCTTTCCTCTTCCTCTCTCTCATTTTCTTTCCCCCTTTGTATTTTCGCGTTTCTACGACGAAGAGATTCTCGTGTGTCAAAGTTGTATCAAGCATAGCTCGTAGAAAAAAGGAAAACGATTTTTAATTAGTCAACGTTCGTAGACTATGAACATTCGTGGGAAACGAGTTAATGATTAACACTAAGGGGTAAGTACGCGATAGATCGTGAAACAATAGTTCATTGTCCGTCTCTCTGAGCGATAATCCTGCGCAACGTTTCGAAGTCGTGTCCCTTCCTCTGACATTATTCTCTCGTATCAACACGTTCACTGTAAATATGAATTTCAATTGGCACATACTTTTCGATCACGTCGCTATAAAATAAAACCGTAAAAAAAAATATATTTCACGATAAAAATTTTTGTTAACTTTCTAAATGTTCCAAAGGTGCGAACTTCTCGAGTAAAGTAGTTTATGACTCGAGCAAACTAAAATTACAACGACATGTATGTAATTGTAAAGAAATAAATGAAGTAAAATAGCGCGGACAGTCGTAAAATTAGATCTGCAGAACAAAGATATTAATAAACGACGGGATACTGACAGACACTAGAGTCAAATTGAAAAGAAACAAACGCGTTTCGTGATCGTACTACGTTCGTGTCAGAGAAAGACATACTTTGCAATTTCTACGATCGATATCTGTGCATAAACTCATATATAACGTATTACGGCGGTAACGACAGCTTCGGGCAACGTCAGGCACCACAAACGATAAATTTAGGCCCGCTTTGGTAACATCGAGCTCACTGTCAATGCGAACATCTCCTTAACAGAGAACGGTCCGTTCGAGCACAGTCTCGCGGAATCAACAATCGACGATCGACAACATTTCGAACAGAGAAATCAACGGGACAAAAGCAGAATTCTTATCGTCCTAGACTATGATCTCTTCAACTGTCCAATGTCGGAACTCTTCGGCGAGTAGAGGCCCAGTTTGAGTGTGAGTTCCTTCGGCTTTCTAGGAGCGTTTCGAACAGGGAAAGGGCTGAACTGCGTCTTCGGACTGGTCACGGTGTTGTAATTATTATCAGCCGCTTTGCTCGAGTGTCCGATATTCCCTAAGCTCAACGACGATTTTTTGTAACCGTTGGAACCCCTCTCGGACAACTCCGAATACTTTCCAACGTTGATCTTGCCAGGGAACTCCGGGTGGGAGACAGGTCGTTTCGATTCGTCGGAGAGACCTGGTGAAAGTTTCGCGGCGTAGTGATGATTAATAGCGGAAGAGAAGTGTTCTGGAAACTGACGATTCGGTGACAATGGGTGATAATCCCGATGTCTCGTCGGCAAATACGATCCGGTCTCAGCTCCCGGCTCTATAGGAGGTAACGTGCCCAAGTGTCTGTCGTAATCCGTGCTCTTGGCGTGAGTGTACTCCTTAGGAGACAAAGCGTCGTATTTCCGGCGAAGAAGATCGGAGGATTCGCTGGGATAGTCCAGGTACGAGGTATCAACGGTGTCCATGATTCTTTCCTCCTTCGAAATGTACTTCGTGGGCGTCAACGGTTCGGTGTTGCCGTTACTGAAGTAAGGGGACTTGTTCGGGGTAGCGATCGATCTGTTTTCCGGCTGAAGGGACATGTAATCGCCTTCGCTGACTTCTCTGGCTTGCTCGTCGTCGTATCTGACGCGAAACTCCAGCGATTCTTTCGTCATCATCGGACTCTTCAAGTGCAAATCGTACGTGTTGATCGTTATCTCTGGCTTATGGTTGATGTACTCGAAAGTTGTGTCCATCACTGGTTTCTCGTACGTGGCTGTCACGAATGGATTGGCCGAAACGTGTTTGGGCGACAACTTGCTCTTGAAGTCGAACGTCTTGTAGGGGTCGTAAGAGGTCTTCAAGGGTGAAGTGTCGTATTGAATCGGCTTGGAGGTGTACCGTAGTGGTGGTACGTCCTTGAACGGCGACGTGTCCGGAATGTACGAGATCGAGGATAGTTCCTTTTGTGGAAGTTTCAAAGTCGGATCTGGCAACACCTGCGCCGAAGAGATCTTATCGAGCTTCTCTAACTCTCTGTAGATGTCTATGTCGCTCTTGGGCGACGAATCGTCCACCTGATACTTTGACACCGCGTACGGCAACACGTTTTCCGTGTACTTGGGAAACTTGTCAACGGGGATTGATGGTTCCTGCGCCGAGCCGAGGTCGTTGCGCGCGTCGATCGAGTCGTTGGACGATTTGTAGGAGAACACGTTGGTTGAGATGCTGGACAGATCCAATCCCTCGATCTCGCTGATATTCTGACTCGAAGGACCTTTATCCAGATTTACCATACTAGCCGGGGAACGATCGTCGTAGTTTGCCAACAGTTTCGATAATTCCTCGTTTATCTTACGATCTATTTGAGCCTCCCTCGAGTCCAAATATTCGTGTGATATCACTTCATCCACGTCGAAATAGTCCATCTGCTCCGTTTCATCGATCAGAGAAAGCTTCGATAATTCCTCGTTGATCTTGGCGTCGAACTCGGACACGCTGGTGGCGGTCATGTTGTCGAAATCTTTGAAGTTGATCCTCGCCAGTTCCTCGTTGATCTCGTGCTCGTTCAATCCCATCTTCTCCAATATTGGGCTGAAGATCTTCGAAATCTCCTCGTTTATCGGGCTAATAGTGATTTCCTTGGATATCTCCTCGAGATCCGGCAGACGCTTTTTTGCTTGGCAGGCAAGAATCTTTTGAAGTATGGCGGAGTTCTCTTGAATAATCTTCAACGCCCTGTCGCTGTTTCTCCGCCCGTTGTCACTCTTTTTCCGGGGCTTCACCTTCGTCCACACGCCCAACTTCGACTCCCTGCCATCGTCCGTGTCGTCCGTGTCGGCTTGGCCACAGGCCATGGTTTTTAATATGCTGTCGCTGTTCTCGTCGATGTTGATCTTTGGATGTACCACGTACGACTTTCTACCTTCTCCGGTTATATTTATGTCCGGTATCTCCAAACGATGTTTCGAGAAGTTTCTCGCTGAATCACTGAAGGTGTCCTGCCTCCTGGCCTCCAGATTCTTCATATCTTCCCAGATGTAGCTGCTCTTCTTCGTCAACATACCATTGTCCGATGATCCATCGTTCGCTTTCGCCTCCAAGTGTTTGATATTTTCAAGAATATCGCTCGATCTCTTTTGCGCGATCGACGTGGTGAACTCGTCGGTAGAAGCTGACGATTTCATGTCAGCGTACCTTTGATTGTCCAAACTGCTCAAACTTCTTTCCAACAACTTCGACTTGTCTCTATAGCGATAGTTCAGATAACGCTTATCCAGCTTCTCCTGAGGCAAAGAAGGTACCACGTCTTCCTCCGACACGGAATCCTCTCCCTCGTCGTCGTCGAATGCATTCTTATCGTTGCGATAATAATCCGTACTCGTCGTTTGATAGTACTTGACATCACCAACCTCGTTCCTCCTGTCCGTCAAATTAATACTCGACTCGTCTTTTCTCGTATTGAACTCCGGTCGAACGATAGTGTCGCTTTTTCTCGCCACGCTGTCTAGATCTTTCACGTCGGACGTCTTCAACGAGGAGTCAAACTTCGACTGGTAGCCTAGGAACTTACTCGACTCCCTCGAGCTGGTCGATTTCTGCTCAGGTGATGTTTCACTGCTGTCCAAACTGGATCTCCTTCTGGAGACACCGTACGGAGACGTCGGCGTTTTTTGATTCGGATTCGAGATCGGATAGAACGGCGAGGTAGCGCTGCTCAGGTCCATAGGCGAGCCTGACACGTCGTCTTGGCCACGTCTATTGAAATTCGAGGTATACTTTATCGAGTTGGCACTTATTGGCGATTGCAGGTCCGAACTGAACGACCTCTCGGAAGACTTGAATTTACCTGGACTACACGACTCGCTCGAGCTGCTCACGATCAATTTCGGACTAGCCTCGGACTTGTTCTTCAACGAGTCCACGCTGATAGGCGTCGTGGAATTCGACATCTCGTACATTTTCTTCACGTCGGATTTGTTCGTGCTGTCTGAATCTATGGAGTGAAGAACCAAAGTCTTCGAGTCCGAACTAACCGACGAACACGCCGATTTGTCCATAGAGAAGTCTCGAGAAACAGATCTGATCGGTGTTCTCGGACTGACCGAGAGACTCGACGGTTTCGAGTCCGGCCCCATCGTTTCACCCGAACTAAAAGACTTGTTGCTCTCTGGTGTCTTGGGACTCTTCGCCAGCTCTGTGTAAATTTTCGTTTGTGTCGTTTGTATCCTGTCGCTGTATGGCGTCTTTTCTAACGTTGTGTCCAGAGTTTTAGACGTCTCGGAAGTTAACGCAGTGGTGTCGTGCGTCGTGTGTATAGTCGGTGTCACTCTGCTTAATTTCTGATCGACCGTCATAGGTGAAATAGGGAGATGACCAACGTAGGTCATGTCATAAAGTGTTCTTTCGGTGTTCATTATGTTCGACGTGTCACTAATTAAATTGCCCACTTTCGAAGTTTCATACGATTTCAAGTCCAGAGACGCTCTGTTGGAAAAATCGAAGGATGCTGTATACAGATCCAGTTTAATCTCATTTTCCAAGTCCAAATCGAGGGTTGATTTATGCACGATTTGATCGTACTTCTTCTCTAAAGCTGATTTATCAGTAATTTTATCGTATTTCTTATCCAAGGTAGATGTATCCGCGATTTTGTCATATTTCTTATCAAAAACTGATTTATCTGTGATTTCATCGTACTTCATATCCAAGATAGATATATCCGCGATTTTATCGTACTTCTTATCCAGAGTTGA